CTTTGGGTAGTGAGCTGTTTGCAACCGGGTTGCAGAAATGGTGGATGAGTACGTGCACACTTCCCCATGTGCATGATCAGTGGGCGAGCACATGCACATGTGCTCCATTTGTGTGAGCAGCAGGCCTGTGTACACACCACTAGCACAAATGGAGCTGAACACATGCTTGCCAGCTGCTTGCACAGAACAATCCCCTCTTCCCCCAGTGCTGGTCTGCAAAGTAGGAGAGGTTGGGGAATTCTGGTCTACAGGAGCTGTGGTGGCGCAGTGATTAAAGTGCGGTATTACAGGTAAACTTTGCCAGGAGTTCAATTCTGACTGGCTCAAGACTGACTCAGCCTTCCATCCTTCCAAGGTTGGTAAAATGAGGACCCAAATTGTTGGGGGCAATATGCAGACACTATAAACCACTCAGAGAGTGCTGCAAAGCATTATGGAGCAATATATGTCTGATTGCTATTGCTACAATAGATGGTAACTGATGCAAATTGAATCTACTAGAATATTAAGCATGGTCATTGGACTTGGATAATCTACATATAGTTTACACCTAATTAGGATAGGACAGGACAAGCATTTTGCTGCTTAGATGTTACAGAAGCCCTCCCTGAATGTGTTTGTTTAAGTTCATGTCATTTCTGTTGAACCGGTGTGGTTCATTTCCAAGAACAATTTTTAGATATCTCATAGAAGCTAATAAAATCTGAAAGAGCTTCTAGTGAAATTATTTTTTAATAACATGCAGCATTTGGAAAGTAAGCATAGATCAATTTATGTAAACTGATCAACTCTTCTCATTGCTCAATTTGTAGGTTTAGTCAGGCAATCTAAAAAAAAACACCCCAACACAGTCAGAGATAAGATAGCAATTCAAATGAAGGGATAGTTTTCAAGGTTAAAACAGTTTGTACTTTCCATGTGGGCAGATTCAAGAACTACAAATGGTTTGACTTTAAAGTGAAAGTAAATTTAAAATATGAATGAAAAGAGATTAGGCAGAATGACTATGTATCATTATGTGTAATTATAGCTTTGAAGCAATGGATTAAGCATAATGATATTAAGCTACATTTGGCACCTCTTCCTAAGGAAATTTCCTGACCAACTCCTTTACCCTCCTTAATATCAAGATTAATAATTGACCAACAATCAAGCAGTAAACAATACCCCAATCAAAGAACTACCAACTCAGACACACACTAACAGTAAACAACAATCTAATCAAGAAGCTACCAAAACCACTCTCATTAACACTGACAGGACAAGCTACTTCTATATAAACAAAGAGGAAACCCCATTATCTTCTAGCACTGATGATGTTACCTAATTGAGTGATAAAATGTCTGTAAGAAAACAACCAAGCTCAGGGAGCACCAAGGACCCTACAAATTTTCATATACTGCTTGTTTTATGCCGCATTAGTAATCCCAATTTTAAATAAATTCTCTGATCTCATCACCAGTTTTATTTACAACCATTTTTCCCTGATGCATGTATTCCTTAGTTTAAGGGTAGTCAACTTTTGCTTTGTTAGATATAAAATTTATTGATACGGGACACTTAGTTTTACAATTAGCATATCTCTCTCTCTCTCTCTCTCTCTCTCTCTCTCTCTCTCTCTCTCTCTCTNATTTGCCCTTTCCTTTTTTTTTTCATTCTTCTTTCAGTTCAAACTAGTCCTCATCCAATGAGACAGCTCTAAGAACTAATGGCCTAGCAAGAAGAGTAACTAGGGGAGAATCAGGATTAGGTCATTCTCCGACACCACTCAGGCAAGTCCCTCCAGTTTTCTTGGCAAGGTTTTTCAGATGTGGTTTGCCGTTGTCTCCTTCTCGGGGCTGAGGGAAAGTGAATGGCCCAAGATCACCCAGCTCGCTTCATGCCAAGGCAGAATTAATAGCAGTTTTAAAATATCTGAAATGTTATTAAATAAGAGAGATTAAATGACCTCTATATGGTCTTCCTAACTTTATGATTCTATAATATTCTGAACAAAGTTTAACATAATCAAAAATGTAGCAGTATGAAACCCAATTTATTTGTGATTTTAACATACATTCCACTTTACTATGTTAATATGCTAGGGTATTATAATAATCTGTGTTAAAACAACCTCTTTGCATTCCATTGGAACAGTAGTCAATTACATAATGAAGATAAGTCAGCAGTGTAAAATTGCTGCAAAAAACCATGATGGTTTAGAATGTATTCGGATGCAAACACATGTTAAATAATGTGTTCTTTAAGGAGGACTTAAACAAGTTGAAACTGGTGCAATAGAAAGGATAGTAATGGGTTAAGAAATAGTGCCACCAGGAGAATGAATAGACCTGGTTTATGGTTAGCCTTGAGAAAAGATAACTGTTACTGTTATCTCAGTACATGAGACAGTGTCCCATAGAAAATGTTTTTTTCCCCACATTATGTGGAACCCTAGATTTCATGAGAACTTGATGAGATGCCATGAGAATCTAAAGTGCAAAAAAAAAGTTCATTCAAAGCCAAATTTCTATTATTAGAATTCTTGAGCCATGGATCTGATATATTTTTAAGCAATAGATACCTCAGACTGAAAGAATTTGAAGACCTCAGACACTAATGGCAACAATTTTTTCTTCCCTAATCCAAAATAGAGGACAAGAAATGTTGATTTTCAGTTATACTAAACCAGACTCCAATTGTAAGATAGGAAAAAAATTATAATGGTAAAACCAATTTGTCAGTTGAATTAATTAATTAATTAGTGAGATGAATGTATTCATGCAAAGCTTGGAAAACAATAAAAAGAATTTGCTGACGGTGCATTAAAAAGAAGATTAGATTAGATTCACTAAAAGGCTCTTCCCAACTCTGTGAATATATGATTATTTTCTTCTCTAAAAAAATTTATCCTGAAAAAGGTCCCAGTTCAACTCTGATGATATAAAACTAGTTTTGCATGACAAGTAGTGACTTTAGACAGAAATCTGCCATTTATTTCAAAGGAAACATCAAATTCTTTCATTAAGATGCAGATGCAAACAGTGTATTTAATCTTACTTGCTCCACTGGCTTGTATCTAGCCACTCACTGATGACAGTTCTACAAGAAATCAAAATAGCTGTCACTCTGACTAAAGAATTAAAAATGCCTAGTTGTTAGCAATACAATCCCATTCCATAAGACAGTGCACATAAGTATTCAGAAATGCATTACTCTTTAACGCAGCATGAAAATTTTTCTTTTCTTTCTCCTTTCATCCTAACTCGGCAAAAAGAATGTTTTATCACATTGATTTTAGGGTACAAATAAATGCTCCAATATCTGAATCTATTATTACATCATACATTTTATGTAGGTACATCACCATAACTTACATGCTGAAGAAGATTGCAAACATTTTAAATACTCAGATGATGATACTACTGTAGAAACTAAGCTTAGTTGAAATGGAGCTTGAACTAAATTAAAGGAATGTGTTTTGTGTTAGACAGACAGTCCTCTATTCCAAAAAGGTCAGAAACCCTACTCATTTGTGGATAAGTACTCATTTGTGGATCCTTATGTCTGCGGCCAATAAAATTTGCAAAGCTTTCTGTTTGTTATTTTTCTTTCTGATCATGTGTTTAAAGTTCTTCTATTTAATTATAAATTAAGCAAACACCTAGCCAGAAAGGCAATTAAGGATTCAGCATAGCAGCAAATGGAATGAAGATATTAAAATGCCAAGCCACTAAATTAGTTTAAGAATTAAAAACAAAAGATCAAAAAAGATAAATTCAGATATTAATTTTGGTCCCCACAAAACCACATGCATACTTCCAATATTCAAATCATGTATCTGTAATGGAAAAGTTTTAACATTTTGTAAGTTAAATTCACAGATGTCAACAAGTGTTTACAATTTAAAACTGAGTTTAAAACGTCACTGAAGTGTTGACAATAGTGATACAACTCTGAAAAACTCCTGGACATAATAGCCTGATAACAAAAGAGCTTCCAAAATTAGTGTTCCTTATTAAGGCTTAGGAAACTATTGGCTGACATTCAACTACCATCAGTTCCAGAAACAATCCAAAATCCTTCTGATAAAATTTTTGAAGTACTTATACTTCTTGGCACCAACCTTCAAAAGCATATTGAAGGTCATTTTAGCCCACAGGAAAGTAAAATATTGTGGGGTGGGGGGGTAGGGAGAGGTAAGTAGGTAGTCCTCATTTATTGACCCTAATTTGGATCAATAACTCCATTGTTAAATGAAATGATTGTTAAGCAAAACATCACATGACCATATTGACTTACAATAGCAGTTGTAATAGAAGTCCTGGTTGCAAGTTGTTAAGCAAATCACCCACAAATATTAAGTGAGACATCACATGACCGTGACTTCTCACCTCCTGCCAACTCGTTGATTTTGCTTGTCAGAAGCTGCAAATGGCTATCACATGACTGAGGGATGCTGTGGTCATTGTAAACAGACAATGTCTGCCAAGTGTCCAAATTGTAATCACGTGACTGCAGGGACACTGTAAAGTATATGTGAGGGCTGGCCGTAAATCCATTTTTTTCAGCACTGTTGCAACTTTGAACAGTTGCTACATGAATGGTTCTGTATATCAGAAAGTAACTAAAGGCATTTTTTACAAGAATATTTTTAAAATATACATGATCTTCTAAATATACATTAACTTATTCTGTACTGCTTTTATTTTTTATAAACACTAGACTAGATTAGACGACTAGACTAGACTAGACTAGAATAGAATAGAATAG